TATTATTATTATTATTATTATTATTATTATTATTATTATTATTATTTGGAAACAACTCTGTACTTTCAGTGGGAATGGCAAAGGTGTGTTTTGGAAAAACAAAATCAGGTGAATGAAGCTTTTATTATTTGCTTCTTTCTCTCATTTATCCCTTCTTTCTGGAGAAATTTAAATACACAAAGAAAATCCAGTGAGGTATTATAAAAGTCTGTTTTTTTTTTCAGACCAGAGACTCTTAGCACCCACTTTCTCTCCAAATCCAAGTCGAAGTCCAGGAGCTTCCCCAAAACTCTGTAGTATATTTATGAAGGTGGCAGGGAAGGGAGTTCGCTGATAAAAATTGCTCCTTCAGTAGAAATATATGCATTTTTCCAGTTTTGGGATGTATATTAATTACTTTAATGTGTGTGTGTGTGTGTGTGTGTGTGTGTGTGTGTGTATACTGTATATCTATCTCTATCTCTATGTATCTATCAATAGCACTAACAATAGACATATACCATTTCACAGTGCTTTACAGCCCTCTCTAAGCAGTTTACAGAGTCAGCATATTATCCCCCACAATCTGGGTCCTCATTTTAATCACCTCGGAAGGATGGAAGGTTGAGTCAGCCTTGAGCCTAGTGATATTCGATCTGCCAAACTGCTGGCAGCTGGTGATCAGCAGAAGTAGCCTGCAGTACGGCACTCTAACCACTGAGCCACCGTGGTGTGTGTGTGTATTCATGTCTATTTGTACACTATCCACGGTTTCTAAATATGATAAATAATTAATATCTATGCATATAAGTACACATTCAGATACAGACAGAGAGAACATATGCTTATAGTGCATAAACACACCTAAAATGTTTGATTGGTGTAGTGTGTGATTTTCTTCCATCTTGTTTTGAAGAACTCTTTCATGGAAAGAGTGGGGGAATCACTTCAAACATCTTTAACTTTTACTATGATTGAATGATAAACTTTTTTATTATTTTTGCATAGAATTAATTATTTCTTAAGCAGCCGCAGGGCACTTTGGAAACTGGTGTTCTGCAGCAATGAGATCTCTGTGCCCTGGAAGAAAATGTGACTAATAAGAACTCTGCAGATGACAGAATGGTTGTCCTCCTTCATCCCTTTGCAATTCTACCATTCTAGCCATTTTTTTTTTACTCCCAACAGATTAATCCAAAATGTTGTGTCCTTGACTGCCAAATCATTTCAAGATACTTGAATGAACAAAAGGTGTGCCCAGATTGTTGTGAGCTCTGTTACATGCTTGTGTTTATCTACCTTAGCTGTCACTCAGGCCATTATAACGCTGGGTGCACATTCAAATGACTTGTCTGCTTAGACAAAGCGGAGTCGATTGATGGTCAACTTTAAAACGAAAACAAAGGTTCCCCCAGAGCCCAAGGATTTGAAAGCTTGGGAAGAGAGATGATCATCCAGATCCTCAAACCTCCCAAGGTGCAAAGGCTATGTGTAACTGTTGATATAACGGTATGGTGAGGTCAGATGGAAGTTAAGAGATGTTAAGCAAGATCCAGTGACAGTCTAGTTGTGAATGCCAAGTACAAAGAAACAGGACTAGATGTTAAGTTTCAGTTAAGCTGATTATTGCTCATGGCTGTACACAGGAATCTAGTCGACTAACTACCAGTACTAAATTGACGCTAGATAAAAATTAATGGAATTCAAGGGGTGGGGCTGGACTTATACCGTTTGTGGGAATCTAATGATTTTAGGCTTATTACTCTCTTGACTCTGCCACCAGGCTCTGCCTATTTTCCTCTTATACTGGCTGAGGCTTAACTTCCTGCATATCAATTAAGTATGGCCAAAAAAGGTTACTGGAAATTGTACTTCGCTAACAGCTGAAATATGAAATAGTTTGTTCACCCCCTCCTCTCCCCCTCCTGCAAAAGTTGTAATCTATCTTAGAAAAGTCTCTCTTTTAGTGAGTCTAGTGGCTGACCATGATTTCATAGAAGGATATATCTAGCGCCACCAGGAAATGTGGAGAATTGAACCCAAGACCTTTTGCAGATGAAAGTTGTGGTCTACCTATGAGCTATAATTCTTTTTGGAATATAGTGTGCTGCCATTTTAGGTCACCTTGGTGTTTCCAATAAGGTGTTTCATGTGATTGCTTCAGGTGAGCAATGCTGACAAGCATTATTCTTTTTAAGTGCTGGCCAAGCTGAAAAAAAGAACCTTGCTGGCCCTTACATAGGAGGATAGACAAAGTATTGCTCACATTTGTTGTTAAATACATGTTTAAAACATTCTGTTCTAGTTCATCATGAATGAAACGCGGAGGTTCAAAAAGCTAACTTTTGTTTTTAATAGAAAATGTCATTCATAGACTACTTGCTTGTGCCAATGAATACCATCTTATCTCCCATGGAATGCATGTGTCCGATGTGTACAATACATAAAATCTCATTTTCTCAAATGCATAAAATCTCATTTCCATTTTACCTACACATGCGTGCTAGTCGTTTCCATCTCTAGGGGCGGAGCTCATCTCTGTTTCAAAGCCAAAGAGTCAGCGCTGTCCAAAGACATCTCTGTGGTCATGTGGACGGCATGACTAAACACCAAAGGTGCACGGAACACTGTTACCTTCCCACCAAAGGTTGTTCCTGTTTTTCTACTTGCATTTTTCATGCTTTCGAAATGCTAGGTTGGTAGAAAGTGGGACAAGTAACAGGAGCTCTATCAACGTTACTATGACCATATGACATCCTTGGACAACGCTGGCTCTTCGACTTTGAAACAGAGATGAGCACTGCCCCTAGAGTTGGGAATAACTAGCACATATGTGCGAGGAGACCCTATACCTTTTTAAATAATGAAATATTGATAGGTGATTTGTCGTATTACATTGTGCAAGTAACAATGCTTGAGTCAACTTTGTCTGAAAAATCTCCCAGTGGTTGGTTGAAAAAAATAAATAAAAGTTGGGTGGGATGAGATAAGTTACCCCCTAATTTTATGTGGAAGAAGATCGCATGTTGGGGTTGGGTGGAGGGAGTTAATTTAGAGACATGGAGGCTTTCTAACTGAAGAAGACCTATTGTCAAATCGTCATGTGTTTTCCAGAATTGATTAAAAAAAAGAAGAACATAAAATAGAAGTGTTGTACGAGCTGTCATCCACCAACCTGGAGAAACCATGCAGATATTGATAATTGATTCCATTTTTGTATGAATTTAAAAAAAACTAACTTTGCCCTCCTAGTGAGAAGGTAATAGGTTTTGTCTGTCAAAAGATAATAATCCTCTGAACCATTTCTGCACCCCCTATTAGAAGGATAGCACAGTTTCACATGAACATAACCCCCATGTCAAATCAGCTTTATAAAAAGCCTTCTTACAAGACTTCA